CATCAAACGTAGTTTCCTGGTAACCATTACGATAAAAAAATTTCGCAGAGGGAAACCGCCATCTACATTAATGTTCACGCTAAATCTACAGTAATATATAAACAAGTCAATTTTTCTCAAATTGTAATCCATAAAATCTTCTTGATGGGGAAAAAGAAATCCTCTCATTATTCTAAAAGTCCATCACAACCGATAACATTGGCTTCGGAGAAAAAAATAGACGAATCGAAATTATTATCGTTATAGAATGGACGATGAATAGCTAGCTCACTCTCGAGTCTTGAACCATATAGTTATATATATATAGGATTAATTACTCAATGTATATATTTACAAACGTATTTTGCCAAAAGCCAAATCATATTCATCATGCATCAACACAACATTCTAACCATGTAGTAAAAAGAAGGAACGAATCATCGACTGCATCCAAAAATTTTGTAACCATACAATACAAGAAAGCCCCATATTCAATGTAACATTTTTTGGGTCAAGATATATTCAATGCAACTAACACCACAAGCACCACATCTTACCAACTCTCTAAGCCCATCAAATTTGACTATTTCCACATTTCATAATCCTCCACACGTGCACCATAGTTTTCCAAGATTACTCTCTCTCTCTCTAGAAAGGTCTAGAGAGAGAATTGTGTCACCCTCCAACTAATAGCTATCTATTCTTTTTATACTATACTATACTATTGATGATCAAAATTACTATAACTCGACATATTAATTATAACCAAACACCTCTTGCAATAACGAGAGCTGCTCGTTATTATACTGCATCGTCTGATAGGCAAAAGGGTCTTCTTGAAACACGTCGTCCATGTAATAATTCGTCTGAAAACCAAACGGAGTATTACTTTCGAACTCGCTCCACTTCGGTTCACTTTGGACTTCCTTAAAATCGGGCGATAAGACGTGCTCGTGAGAACTTGTGGTACTCGAGTAGGTATTATTCAACTTAGGTGTGGAGTCCGACGTGTCGAAATTCACGTACTCGTTATTCATCGGATTGTTATTGCGCGGGAACACATTGGTATTCACATTCGGCTTTTGTTCTTCGTTGTCTGAAAATTGAACCGCCTCTTGATCAACCACATTATAATGCTTTTCGAGGGTTCCTTTCTTGTTGTATATTCGGCACAGCACCCAATCATCAAGCTGCAATAATATATCGAATAATTCAAACCATCAATTGCATTCAATAATTTATTGTAGTTTTCTCAATTATGCCCTTACTACTCTTAATTTACTGACAGATAATTAATAGAGAAACAATTAACGAGAAGGGGCATTTTAGTCACTTTATGAGATCCTTTTTTGCTTTAATCAATAAAATTATTAATTTTCTTAATACGTGCGTACTAGCTCAAAATAGAAATTAAAACGGGAATAAGGGCAATTTGATTTCATTTTGCATTTTCATTTTCACTGTCATTTTAGATTTTACTAATCATCAAAACTAGACAAAAGAAAAGTAGTGGAAATTAATTAACCAAAAAAAAAGGATTAAAGTGTAAAAAGACAAAATTACCCTCAAATTGTTTGTTTTGCCGGCGGATCTATCCACATTAGCCAAACGGTATTCGTGCATAATCCAGTTTGTTTTGATTCCTTTAGGAGCTTTTCCTGCATAAAACACTAGTGCTTTCTTTATTCCCAGAGTCTTCGGCTTTCCCACCGGCTTATCGGCTCCGGTGGCTTTCCAGTAGCCGGCTCCAGCGGCCCGGTTCGGCCGTGAACCGTTCGGGTATTTCCGGTCTCTTGGAGAAAAAAAATACCACTCTTTTTCACCGTACAGTGACATACCTGTATTTACAATAAATAATTAGGAACCAAATATCGAGAATTAAATTGAAATATATTTGAATTAAATTAAATTAAATCAAATTACAAGAATATTCGAAAACAGAGGGCATATCGACTACTGTAGATCCACCGCCAAAAATTAAAAATAAATAAATAAATAATTAATAATAATAATAAGAATAATAATAATAATTTATTATTATTATTAATAATAATATAATGATTTGAAAAAAGAAAAAAATTGCATACCAGGAAGTTGCCATGGATCAAATTTGTAGAGATCAATTTCAGCGATAATAGGGGGTGCAATCTGGTGTCCCGCACACCTACGGCAGAGATAATGCACCACAAGCTCCTCGTCCGTCGGATGGAATCTGAATCCCGCCGGTAAACTCAACTGCTGATCGCCACCCTTCATTCACTATCCAATAATCTTCTTAGTTATTAACCTTTTTTTTTTTTTTATTAATTCCCCTAAGACTTGACTTTTCTTTTTTCTCAGTTTCTGCTGCTATAGTTTGCTTTGAATCTTCTCTGAAACGAAGAAAAATGAAACCTTTGGCCTTTATATATATACACAAAGGGGGTGGGTG